CCTTGCCGCGGTAGTTGTTGTGGGCCGAAGAACTTGGTGTGGCGCCGCAAAGCACCTGGGGGCAGAATCAGGTGTTTCATCATGAATCTGAGTCGTGAGCACGATTCGATTCTTCTAGACCAAAGGGTCTCCTTACGTGTGCTCATCGCAGTGGCGCCGGGGAGCTGAGGTGCCGAGGTTGCCAATCCCCTGGTGCGATCTCCACTCTTGCAATTATCTAAGATCTTCTGTTGTCATTACCGGCCATAGATCGAAGGGTGACACGGTCCTAGATCTGTCGAAGGAATAACTTCAGAAAGAGTGCACGCCCAAAAAGCCCAAATTCAAGCAACCTCGTTGGGATTTGATGAAATATAGCCCTAGCTGTACAATATGTCTTCGGTGCTCGCGCAAGCCCTTGTTTCTTACGAACCTAATGGAGGCGATATGGATTTGAGATTTGAAGATGTCTCAATACGCGACCTGAAGGACGATGAACTCTTGATCCGACTCGTTGCAACGGGGATATGCCATACTGATCTCGTGTTTGGGTCCTTGCCCTCTCCGTTCACAACATACCCCAAAGTTCTCGGGCATGAAGGTCAGATTTAATTACAGCTTCTTGAGTTGAGCGACTGGATCTGACGGGGCAAAAGGTGCGGGATACATTGAACGACTCGGGACGAATGTCCAAGTCGGCAAGCCTGGGGACGCAGTCTTGCTTTCCTTCTCCTACTGCAGCACGTGTGGAGACTGCTCGACAAATCACCCATCATATTGTGAATCTTTCACGGCATTGAATTACCAAACAGATCCAGATACATTCCTGGACTCGAATGGACAGAAGATTTGCGGGCTGTTTTTTGGCCAGTCGAGTATGGCCAGTTACACGATTGCAAAGCAGGCTTCCGTTGTCAACGTCACCTCAGTCATCCGTAATGAGTCGGAATTGAAGCTTTTTGCTCCTTTAGGATGTGGTTTTCAAACCGGATTTGGAGCCATCGATGTAGTGGCCAGTGCAGGTCCCGATGACACGGTTGTCGTGATGGGTATTGGAGGAGTCGGCTTCTCTGCAATTGCGGTAATATCTACGGCCTCCATGTCTCGATCGATATTGGTACACTGATTAATGAAGTCTCACAGGGTGCAAAGTTGAACCAATGCAACACCATTATTGCGGTTGACCGAGTCCCGCAAAGGCTTCAACTTGCCCGTGAATTTGGCGCAACCCATGTTATCGACAGCTCTGAAACCCAGGATCTCGTTGCAGAAGTCAAGGCACTCACGAAAGGCAGAGGCTCCTCAATTACTCTCGATACGACTGGTAATATGAAACTCATTGAGAATGGGTTGGCCATGACCGCAAACAGGGGGCAGATGATAATTGTTGGCGTCCCACCTATGGACGCACAACTAGGCGTTCATCTGGTATCATTTATGCAAGTGGGTAATTCCTCCTCTCGGCCGTTGCGAGCCCAGTTCGCTGAACAATAGACACAATAGGCGGGGAAGATATTACGAGGCTGTATTGAAGGAGATGCCAGACCAGGAGAGGTATGCCAGCGCTTTGTGCCAACGCTTTGGTACTGAAACTAATTGATCGCAGTACATACCGACCATGATCAAACATTTCCGGGCTGGACAGTTTCCCATTGACAAGCTGGTCAAGTTTTATCCTGTAAGTGATTTTGAATTCATTTTGAAGTCATTTTTTTTCTGACATGCGGGTACCGCAGGCGAAAGAGTACAACAAAGCACTGTCCGAGATGAAGGATGGACAGACCATAAAGCCAGTTCTAGTGTGGTGACTGTCACTCTGAGGTATCCCGGTAACAATTGTGTTTCGCACATATTAGGAAGAAAGTTCTTTTGCTGCTTCAATTCGCTTCAAAGCTGCCACGAATTTTCTCTCCTCGTCGTTACTCGACCTCGGATTTTCTTTTCCAGTCGTGATTGTCTCCTTGACAGGTTGAATACTCCTGAAGCAGAGTGCTCAACAGAGTGAATAAGTGATTTATCCTGCAGGTTCTGATCGACATTCGTCTGTTTCTTCTTCCGCTTGACTCTGGGCCAGCAGACTTGATCTTTTCTCTGAAAAATCAAAGCTTCTTTTCAATCTTTCCGCTTTGGCGCTGCTGTCGGTCACATTCAACAGTGACGACAGGGAATCTTCATAGCACCATCCTGAAGCGCGGCCAACACGATTTGACCAGTCTAAAAATTAAAGACGCGGCTTTCGTGGGAGCCCCGACCCTCAACCCCCTTAAGTCGTCCAAGCCTCCTGTACGAAGGTCTTTGACCTCTCCTGGCGGTCGATCATTCGGAGATGTTCGACCGGATGATGGAAGATGACAGTCAGTGCCAGCGAGGCTACATTGACGTCGACACCTTTGCTTGCCTCTGCGCGACGCTGAGATTCTCAAGCTCAAGGCCAGTCAAACCGGGTCCATATTCAGTCTCTAGGTAATGGTCGGGGACATCTTGGACTTTCCCACTTCTTTAAAGAGGGACCTGCCCGTTTGAACGCGACGAGACTGACGAAGAAGCAAGGCGCAAGGCTGTCTTTCACTTGAAAGTCGGGATCCTGGTATGCTTCCGCGAGGCGTAAACGATACGTGGCACCGGTCCGGATCTTTCGCAGGAGATACCGTAAAGGTAGTGTGACTACCCCGGGAGAGACAAAGCTGCCTGAGACATGCTGCTGTCCTTTTTATAGCGGCACTATTCCTCTGTCGACTAGTCTAAACTCGCGGGACAGCTTACGTGAATGGGCAAGCTTTTTTGCACCGTCCTGCTTTCAGCGCAAGCTGCTTGTGCAAAAACATGTCCTCCGTATGCTACTTTGCCGCCGTTCTCCGGCGGTGCAAAGGCCTCTGTCACAACGCCGCAGTCGCCCCTCTCCACAGCTTCGAGAGACTGGATCCGTCGGTGAGGCGCTTCATCACCACGCTCAAGCTCATCTTCGACCGAACAACGCGCAAGTCGCACCGACGTCGTCTTCCGCAGTTGTCGCCGCTGCCTCCGCATTCTTCCGTGACCGGCGGTGATGTTCGTGGTGGCGGCGGCCCTTCCGAGACGCCGGGGTCGAGTTATAGCAACAATAACGGGAGAGCAACGGCAGCATGCATTAGGTGAAGATAATGCCCTCCCAAATGGAACCACGCTCCACGCGAATCCGGGTGGTGATAATCATCCGGTAGGAGGAGGAGTATCCGGTTCCAACAATCTCATGCTCTCGCCGTTCGATGCAGAACCTACGTCTCGCCAATCTCATGGAACTGAATCAACCCAACACTCGGCCTCACGCTCGTACGGATAAGGCGTACCGAGCATCAGAGAAAAACAACAAAAGGCCTGAGGGAGGCTGGTGGCTGCCTCTATGACTGAACATCCTTCTTATCATGGTCGTCATAACTCAGGGTTTAACCTCCGATAACCATGGCGAAAGGAATGCGGCACCGCTCAAGGGGCTACTCCTGATCACAGGCCTTATCCGAACCGGTCACGGTGATCGGGGTCGAGTAGACAGCAGTATTGAACTGTGGTACGGACGAAGCAGAAGTTCGTCTTGTATATGATAGACACTTACCAAGAGCTTCATACAGTTGGTGTGTCACTGAAGCCAATAACACGTATATAATACACCCCTCATCTAATATCCCGAGGTTCTTTGGGTCTTTGGCAGCTCGGTTACAAAAAGTCCGACCGAGCGACCGAGTGACCGAGTTCCCTTGGGGAACTTTGTATAAACGACGACCTCATCTCAATTGTTACAATTGTGTGTAGACGAGACTTGTTATCTTGGGTTGAATTCCATAGGTTATTATTTCGGGTATCTACACAATGTCCCAACTTCAAGATTTCGACAATTTCTTCAATCTAAATGGCAAAGTCGCCCTTGTGACTGGTGGTAAGTACCTGACTGGTCGAATCTCAACCTAACCCACCTTACGACCTCTACTCGTATTGGTCTCCTTCTTTTTTCACCATCCGTGCATCTATTCTCTGTGTTTGGGTCAATCAAATATCGAAGATTTTTTCTAAAAGAAAATCAGGTTCTCGTGGGTTGGGTCTTCACGCCGCAACGGCATTTCTCCGCGCAGGAGCAAAGACGGTCTTCATAACCGCCCGAAAGGCGGAAGGGGCCCAAGGTATCGACCAAGCGGTCGACAAACTCAATGCCCTCCCCGGCATCAAGGGTAGGGCGATCGGCATCGCGGCTAATGTGGCCCAAGAGAAAGAAGTCCAACGGTTGTGTGAAGAAGTGCAAAAGTTTGAGCCAAACTTACACATTCTCGTCGCCAACGCTGGAGCGACGTGGGGAGGACCATTTGAGACGACGCCGGACTGGGCGAATGCGAAGATTTTGGATTTGAATGTCCGCGGAGTATTTAACATTGTGAGAACGTATGTATTTTTCTCTCCCTCCCTCGCCCCCACAACGACACACAATCACGCACATGTACCCCGTTCCCAGGAAGGTAATCCACGGATATTGACCAAAGAGGCACACACATATAGCTTTGCACCACTCCTCGAGAAATCAGCAACGTCCACAGACCCAGCTCGAGTCATCGTGGTGAGTTCGACCGCGGGGGTCAACGTCCCCCACGTCGGCGAGAACGGCACGATCATGTACTCTGCGTCCAAGGCGGCGGCCCACCACCTCGCCCGCAACCTGGCCGTCGAATTGGGCCCCAAAAACATCACGACCAACACGGTCGCCCCCGGGTTTTTCCCGTCGAAGCTGGCCAACGGGTTGATCGAGAACCTAGGCGGCGTGGAGCACATCAGCGGTACGAACCCGAGACGGAGACTGGGTGTCCCCGAGGACATCGCGGGGGTCATGTTGTTCCTCGCGTCACCCGTGGCGGGTTACATCAACGGCGTGGACATCGAGGTCGACGGCGGTGCTCATTTGAGCGTCGGGAGATCGACCCCGCCCGGAGAGTCGAAGGCGAAGTTGTGATAGTAATAGCAGTGGCAGAAGAAGCAACAAACGAGTAGTATTTGCCATCTACTGGGTAGTCAAGAAACTACACGATCCATAAGCTTCATACATTTGTTCATCCTATGTACGTACGATTACACAAACACATACATACATACCTGGATGGTTTAGGTGTGCATCTCAAGGTGCGTTGATGAAGTCGCCCACAAACTCGGCCACCACTTGAGGTCTTTCCACCATTGGTAAATGCCCGGCACCCTCGACAAGTTTGAAGGAGGCCGTCTTTCCCACCGCTGATCCTAGCGTTTGCGACAACTTCTCCATCCCTTTGGGGAGGACGCCGTCACCCGCACCGACGAGGAACGCACCTCGGCCCTCGTAACCGGGTAGCATGTCCGTATAATCGTAATCGAACAGCGTCTCCACGCCGCGTCGGAACTCGGGCAGCGAGTTTGTGACGACCATCTTCTTGACCTTCTCAATCTCCGGCACGAGCGCAGGATCGTGGTACGACTCCGGCACGAACCACCGGCGCACCGTCATCTCGGCCAGCTCCTCGCCGACGACCGGTTGCGGGCTGGCGTCGGGCGACTCGTCACCAAACAGGGAGGAAAGACGGAGAGTCTTGCCTTCCTTCTCGGCCACGGCGATACGTTGGCCCCACGTATCTTTGTTCCCCGCTGGAGATTTCGCCGAAGTGTCGCATGCTATGAACGACGCGATCCGCGACGGATACGTCAGTGCCGTTGCGATTGCGGTTGCTCCTCCCATCGATACACCCACCAGTCCGGCAGCCTGCGGTATTCTCAGAGCGTCCAGGAGCGCAATCACGTCCGACGCCTGGACCTCGGTCGTCACAGGACTCGTGGTGCCGCTCGGCATGGCCCGACCACGTGCGAGGAAGCGCACGACACGGTACTTTTGGTTCTGCGCGCGGGAGAAGAAGTGTTTCAGAAAACCGTCCCAGATCCCCCATGTCGTGAGAACCGAGTTGACCAGGACCAACGCGGGTGCGTCGGGATCAGAGTTACCTTCTAGGCGGAACGGGAGAAGCGCGCCGTCACTCGTCGTTACCGTTGATTCAATCGCCGACCCGAATGGTTCGACCTTTGGTATCGTCTTGGTCACACCGTCGGGGGATACCCAGGGCGCCACGATCGCCAAGTGACGAGCTGCAGTCCCGAAAGTGTAGAAGAGCTCGTACTTTCTCAATATGGCGTCCGCGGAGGGTGCGCCATCATACACGTTGCTGAAAGACGACAGGTCCGTCGACGGCGTGAAGTCGTTGATCAAGACGAAATCGACCTGGCCGTCATCACGGGGTTCGAGGTACGAAGTCTTGAACCACGACGTTTTTCTCCATCCCGGAATCTGTCTTACTTTCGAGAGCACTTTCTTCTCAATCCAGTCCTGCGCGTTTGACAGCTGATCCGGGGAGAGACGAAGTCTGCACGTCGTCAAGAGATTTCCTTCTTGGTTCTCCTTGAAGTGCTCAGGTGACTCGAGTTTCACAAAGGTCTTGTCGTTGACTTGCTCGCCCACAAAATCCAACGTATATCGATCAACCCAAATCTGTGCCATGACATCTATCTCCCGCTGCGTCTTGCCGGGTGGTGCGCGCAAGTACTGGTATGGCTGTTCCGTGAACTGGTGCATGTCAGTGGCATCGTATACGGCCAAGAACTCGGGCTTGGATTGTGTTCCGCCATTGGGTGTCGAAAGATCCAAGGCTCGATATCGAAAGCCATTGGGCATGAACGACAGTCGAGTCCTGTTGGGTCCATGTTCGTTGTTGTACCAGTCGTGGAAGAGGTCTGGCGATAACGTGTCTTTGGGTTGCATGGTCACAAACAGCAACCCGCGAACGGGATTAGATGAAGGCATCGTGGCGGCGGCACTTCAAAAGTCCGTCTTTCTTTGCGTGCTTTGCTTTGTTCGTCGTGTCTTCCCGGACTCTTCCACCTTGACCCAAGAGAAATGGGACAATCCTGCAGCAAGGCAATGTCAGGCCACAGTCTCGTATCAACGGTATCGAATTGATCTATTCTTCCAGTTGAACTGGTTGGAGATAGTCGAACATGGAAAGCTCGTCGAATTCTGAGGCCGTTCGGAGACGATGCTCGGCAGGACTCCGGTTCATCTGCCGTGAACAGGTGCCTGCGACTGCATCGGAACGAACCCCGCATTAGCGAATATTTGGGTGCGGGATTACCTACTAGGTAGATTTACGGTCGCTAAAAATAATGTAGATAGGGGCGATGGGACACCTAGAACTCTCCCCCAACTACCCATAAGTGGCGGATAAGTCTTTTTCCGACTCCAAGTCCAACTTCTCGTACCCCAAAATCCGATATTCGCGTTGTACAGGAGCTACGAGTACTCTAGGCACTCCTATGCTACGAACATGCTGTAGACCAGTTACTAGAGCAGCTGGCTTAGTCATACCATATCGCATTCATCCCAAACCCAGGCTCCTTGATATCCAGATGAGCCACTCTGGAAAGATACTCATCGTGCCACCGGTAAATCTCGATCCAACCATCTTGGTCATCCGTCAAAGCCAACCACTCATCCGTCCAAGGACATACACCAATGGCGTTCGAATGGCCACCACTGTTGGGCGTTGGGCTGATACATAGTTGACGCTCGATTTGTCCCTGTGGTCCAAGTCTAAAGGCACTGATATAACCCGTCACACTGGACGAGTTGGATCTGGCCGTGGCGAAGAGATGTTTTCCACTCTGGGAACAAAACACCACGTCTGATCTGTACATCTTCTTGAGATCTCGAACACCTGTGCATGGTCAGTTTTACCGACACCTAGGCATGTGCTTGGGGCCTTACCTGGTGGAACCAACGGGTAGATGTTGTGCGTAAAAACAGGCATATGAGTTTTCTCGTCAATGACATACTCACCGAGCCTGTTCCCAGCTTCCATCAACACATACAAATAGTGTCCGCTCGGATGAATGTCAACCCATCGAGGATGGTCGCCGGCGGAAGGTGCATCGACGCTGCCGACCAAGGTGAGAGTGCCGTCGCTGGCCTTTTTGTGTGTCCAGATCTTGTCCGCCCACATATCTGCCGAGTAGAGATACGTCTCGGTCGGGTCAAAGACCATTCCGTGGATGGCGGACTTTTCGCTGTATTCGTAGTTTTGGATGTTCTCATCCAGCTTGCCAGTACTGTCGACAGAAAAGACGTTGCCGTAACCCGCATGCTCGTAGAATGGGTTACCATAGACGCAGTAAGGCGGCTTCTTTGCTGCTAGAATGAAGATGGCCCTGGTCCGGGTATCAGCACTTTGTGCTCGGGCTGTCCACGAGTAAGTCAGTCAGCACTTCGATAGAGTCGTAGGAAATATCAAACCTACGATCATGGCTCATGGGATGAGAGACTTCATGTGAGATGTTGTCCGGTGCTGTCACGGCGTGACTGGACCACTTCTTCATAGAAGCTCCATAGATGTTCTTTCTTTGGTGCTGCAAGGCGGGGAGCCGTCAGCGTCGAGTCTACTTTCCACTCCGTACTATACTCACATCAAAGGTCATCCATGAGATGGGCTCATCTTCAGGTATGGACGTTCTCTTGACCAATTTCAAGGTCCATGCTTCATCGTCAAATTCGACAGTGAAGATAGCTCCGGGAGGTGTCCATGTCCCTATCATCAAGTGGTGCTTCATCTTGTGCACCAACCTATATACCTGAGTTGCGATATGATGACAGTCTGGAACAATAGTCACATGGCTACGATGGAAATTAGTGTGGGAGCCTCATAAGGCTTGCTTGGGATAACAATTTACAGGGGATCCCGAGGTGAGTTGCCGAAAGCCGTGCACGATACGTGCCCTGAGACTACGGGCGATTATTTGGTTATAGTAGTAGTACGGAGTACTGGCACCAGGGCAGCGAATGTACTCGTACTCGCACAGAAAAAAACCACACCGGTGCCCTGGGTCTAGTTCGGAGTGTCGGGATGTTGTGTGGTATTTTAACTACCGATTTTGGTTGTTCGAAGCCTCGGCGGGGCAAGATCGGAGGGGGGAGGCAAAGGGCGGGCTCAATAATAGGCGTGTGTCCTTCGTCATTAGGGGCGCCGTTAAGGGCTGTTCCGGGCATGCTGAGACCCACGAAGAATTCGTCAGGGAAGAAAACGGAGGTGCAAAAAGTACCGTCCGTCCACGGTAGTTGGAGGCGCCTCGATTTGCCGATATTCAATTGCCCATCTGCTTAGACTTACGGGCCTCACAATTGGTCCATTCCCATTTTTGTTTTATTCCGATTTTGCGAAGTTCCCCAGAATTGAAGAGCTGGAGACAGAGTTGTACGCAGAAAGACGAACATGCTGTTGGTGGTGGTCATCATCACCAGGAGCCGATTTTCACTGCCGGCACTGATGAGTCTGCCCACAATTCAATATATATATCGACGCAGTAGTTCTCACCCAGTGTAGTCTCCAGTCTTATCTGTCTCTGTGTGTCCAATTCTTCGTGTCCTTAATTTTACATTCTCATCGCCAGTCCTTGTTGTCTGAGAGACTTTGGGTGAATCGCTGCCACCCTCGCTTCTCAATCGCCGACCCACCCCCTAAAACAAACCCCCCCCCAAAAATAAAAAATCCTTGACATCATGTCTTTTCAGAACGTCGTCGAAAACTCGACCACCACCAATTTAAATGGAGTGAATGGGAAGACGACCAATGGGTCATCAGCTCACAAGTATGATCCCGACTTCACAAAGAGCCTCATTGAGGCCATGGGCCCAAAGACGCCTGACCGCGCACGATTTGTCCTGGGAAACCTGATCCAACATCTCCACGACTTTATCCGCGAGACTGAATTGACGCCCGAGGAATGGATGAGAGGTGTTCAATTCGTCAACGCCATCGGCCAGATTAGTGACTCGAAGAGAAACGAAGGTCAACGAATTTGCGATGTTTTGGGTATTGAATCGTAAGTTTTCGCACGTACAGAGAATAGAGAAGAAGTTGATGCTCTGCCTCGGACGCAACAGACCAATCCACTAACATTTCCGTGTTTCATTCTAGCCTGGTGGACGAAGTCGCCAACAAAATCATGCTGGACAGCGACGAGACCCCTACATCTTCCACGATCCTAGGCCCCTTCTGGAGCCCTCACGCCCCTTTCCGTGAGCTCGGCGACAGCATCGTCCAAGACCCTTACCCGACCGGCCGGGTCACGCTCATGCACGGCGTGGTCAGCGACTACAAGACCGGCAAACCCATCCCCAACGCCGTCGTCGACATCTGGCAGGCCTCGGCCAACGGCAAGTACGACTTCCAGGACGACGACCAGTCGGTCAACAACCTGCGAGGCAAGTTCCGCACCAACGACAAGGGCGAGTACTACTACTACTGCTACCACCCGACCGCCTACTCCCTCCCCACCGACGGCCCCGCCGGCGTCCTCTTGAACCTGATGGACCGCCACCCGATGAGACCCGCCCACATCCATCTCATGATCAGCGCCGAGGGCTACAAGTCCCTGACCACCCAACTCTACCCCCGCGACGACCCCTACGTGACCAGCGACTCTGTCTGTGCGGTCAAGGATGACCTGTTGCTCGACTTCAAGCCGTCAAAGGACCCCAAGGCCCAGCTGGATCTGGAATACAACGTCACTTTGGCTCCTTTGAAGCCTGGCCAGAAGGCCGGTTGGGTTCACACTGTTTTCTGAGCATGTTCAAGAGGGAAACCCTTCACTTTCAACATCACAACAGCGTTTTTCGGGGTTCCAAAGTAAATTCTTTTGCTTGGGGGGCGTTTTCGCATCATGCATATTTTTACCATCATGCACAGTTTTCAACCGTCTCCAAGGCTATGATGGACGAAAGTCATCTTGATACATAGCACATATTGAAGCAAGAAAAAAAAACATCCACACTTGAACGGAATTGGCTTCTAAAAAATATCATGCGTAGATGCCTGAGTAACGTAGATAAATAACCCCGCAGACGTCAATGACACACTCCAACAAGGGTCCAAGTAAACATACATCGGATGTGGGCGCCCCTAAATCCATGTACTGCAACGCATCAGGTCTCCTCTGGAATCGTATGTATATATTCCCTGGATGTCTCCCATTGAAATCTACAGCTCCTCGGTTCTTCAGCATCCTCACCCCTCTGTAAATTAAAACATGCGTCTTCCTTATGCACCCTCTACCCCTCCCGAAGACTCACCCCCTTCGGTCGCCGAGACGTACGCCCGGATAGCAGCCCGGCGCAAACCTCGTCCTCTGATCCCGCTCGACCTCACACTCTTACACTCCCCTCCCGTGGCGAGCGGTTACAACGCCTTTGTCGGGGCCCTACGCACCGAGACCATCGTCCCGCAATCACTCCTCGAACTGGCCATTTCGAGAGTCGCCATTCTAACCACGGCCGTTTATGAGTGGAACATTCACGCCGCGTTGGCACTGAAGGCGGGACTCTCCCCCGAGGCGTTGGAAGTGGCACACAGCGCCCCCAAGGGGGGAGTGACACGGTCGACAGACAAGAAATTGAGTGAGAAAGAGGTCGCGGTGCTAAGGTACACTGACGAGGCGACCGTGGATGTGAGGGTGCAGGACTCTACGTTCGAATCTCTCAAGACACTTTTCAACGAGAGGGAAATTCTGGAACTGGTCACGGTAGTGGCTGGTTACAACGCCGTCAGTAGGATACTGGTGCCACTCGACGTCGGTGAGAATAATGACAAGAAGATGAAGAGTGTGGATGAATTGGTCGCGGAGGGAACGAAATAAATAAAGAAAAATAAAATAAAAAATAATCAATACGGGTAGTGTCTACCACGATACGTATATACTACCTCCCTGACACATCTTCCTACGAGTTATCTTTTTTTCCAAAGTTGCTGATTCGACCTCGTCAACAAATATCAATCGGATATCCATCACCTTTGGACAAAGCCTCAATGACGGCCTCACAGACCTTGACGGCACTCAACCCATCTTCCCCGGAACACCTGGGCTCTTCCTCGCGGTCGACGACCTTGACCAGGTGTTCGATCTGGGACTGAAAGGGGTGCTTGTCCCCGACCGTCAACACTTTTCTCGTCATGGAAATTCCCCATCCGACCTCGACGTCGTTGTTTCTCTCCTCGGCCGCTTCACCGGCGACGTCGTACGTCCACAGCACGTCGTCCGGCACCGAGATCGTACCCCCTGTCCCAAAGATCCGATAGCAATCGATCGGGACGTCGGCCTTGGGGAAAGCAGGCATGTCCCCCGTGGCCGCCTCCCAGCCGTAAGGGCTCGCGACGTTGTCGTTCATGACAAAAGTGCCCACGACACCGTTGGCGAACAGCATCAGGAGCGCCGCGCCCTCCTCGACCTCGTCCCTGGGCCTCGCCGCTTCGTGGTGTCGTCGCGCCACCGACCCGGTCGCCCAGACCCGAACGACCCGCGCCCCGACCAGGTACTGCAGCACGTCCACGTCGTGGATGAAGTTCGTCCACACCGGTCCGCCGCCCTGGGAGCGCGACACGCGCCACTGCGCCGCCAAAAAGTACCCGTCGTTCTTCCTGCACGTCCACGCCCCCGACACGGCCGTGACTTTACCCAATTTCCCGCCCACGATGGCCTCTTTCGCGGCCGAGACGGCGGGGTGGAAGCGTCGATGATGACCCACGGCGAGAGCGCAGCCCTTTTCTTTGGCCAGCTTGATCAAGGCATCGCCTGAAGCGGATTCGGTGCAGAAAGGTTTCTCAACCAGTATGACCCGTGGCGTCGAGTTGGTGGTGCCACGAGTGTTGCCAGTGATGAGAACCTCCGTTGCGAGTTTGACGTGTAGACCCGAAGGGACGCAGATGATGTAGACGTCCGGACTTTGCTGGGCGACCACAAGGTCGGACACGCTCGCGTAGTGGGCCACGGCCAATGACTTAGCGAGCTTCTGACCTGTAGGGAACGGGTCGACGATGGCGACAAGCTCGCATTCTGGTGAAGATTGGATGTATTTGGCGTGGAGGGGGGCGATGAATCCTCCGCCTACGAGGGCGAAGGTCGTTTTTGAGGTCATGGTTGGTTATTCTTTTGGTACTGTTGTAGTACAGGGTTATGAACTTAAGGAAAGTTTGCTTGTACAAGTAGTGGCCTAGGTAAGGATATTGGATTGCCTATCTCTGGTGAGATCCAATTCTCATATATTCACTCCTAGACCATGATCTCGTTCGTTGGGCGTACTTCGTTGCTTGTGTAAGCTGGTTGAGTCACACGCAAATGGCGAAGTCAGTCCAGGGACAGGACATCAGATCTTGGTTTGCATCTTCGCGGATAGATAGTCGTCCAAGAGGAATACGCGCAGTATTGACGTTTGATTGGATATTATCCCACTCCAGGTTCCTAGTTAATAGCCGATGCCGGCATTGTTTTATTCCGCGAACCCACAATCACCACTCATTTCAACGTCCCCTCCAACGTCAGCAACGAGAACCAACGCATTTGTACGGTAAGAGCCCACGGTGTTCAATACTATCTCAGCTGCGATATACGCTTGGTGGTAGCAGAGAACACCTTATCTTCGACTACCATGTGCAACGCAGTCAACCATCCTTCACACTGGAATCCGGGAAATCCGAGAAAAACCAGGACGTCAAGTCATTGCCATACTTGGGACGTCCGATAATGATTTTCTAGTGTCGGTGTAGAAGAGCATGTGGAGCTGCGGAAGAGTCAAGGTTGATCTCCATGTGACCGATATGTATATTCGACGCTGGAAGTCTTGAGCAAGGTAGCTGGCGACCAAGAAGCTTAAGATGTCATTTCCTTGCATCATGTGAAGGTGTCGTGGCGGATCTCTTGATCACATCGAAAGAGAGTCATATGGATCGTGGTAGTAAGCATTTCAGCTTGGTGCAAGGCGAATCCACCATCATTCGTCATGGCATGCATGCACCTTGTCGCTAGTACAAATAACATCGAGAGTCCAGATCGTCATGCAGCTGGTAGCGTGGCGTGCGGACTACACCGAGTAGGTGAACAATTGACATAGTATATTGAGACCGCAAAATATCGCTCAACTTGATTCGCTAGAACTTCCAGATGACTCCTTCCTCGAAGCGGCCTCTTGTGCCTTGATACGGTTTATACGGTTGGTAGCTTTCTCGATGGCTTTTCTTCTGGTGGCACTCCATTTCGCAGTCTCGCCCCAGTAGTAGAGACGGTAGGCAAGGTCGCTATTGGTGATGCCCGGCTTCTTCGGGGTGATGGTGTAAACAGGTCCGCATTCCGGGTCGTTCGACTCCTGCACAAGTTCCAGACCCTTTTTACGAAGCTGAGTATGGATTGATTTCATTCGTTGCGCCATCTTTGGCAGATTTCGCTTTGAAGGTCCAGACAGGAGAGGTAAACATATATACTCGAACTGTGTTTGTTGGCAAGCACGTGACCGGGAGGGTGACCGCCTGTGCGGCCGATTTTTCGCCGAGGAAAATTTTGTCATGCGATTGTTGGCAGGGCAGAGCAGATCAGGGGCCATTCCAGGCTCACCAAGCTGATTCACTTATGACCAGGGTTGTCCAACATCCGGAATCGATCACCGGTTGATGACGGCTGCCCGATGACAAGACGAGCGCGCGTCACATATTAATTTCGTTTTCATCAATCCAACTTACTCATCTTCTTTTACAGTCGAATCCTGGCCCCCAGTCCGTGGCCTTCGTACCATATTCGTTCCTGCCATTGACCGATTCTGACTCCGACGTCAGCTTTGGCATCTAGCTTCAGAGTTCCGCCTAAGGCATCTCGGATTGTGCCTAGAGCATTACTCCCCCACGCAACTGGGAGCTTCGGTGTAATGTTTTCACCTTCTTTGATGGCGAATGGGTAATCCCAGTCGATCGTACCAACCTCTGAACCGTTGTAGAATGCAGCTGCCGAGATAGCGGTAATGTACATGGCGAAAGGGGACACAAGGACGAACGTTGCAGTCGACGATATCAAGTGCATCTATATTGTCAGCCAGACTCGCACTCGGAAAGGCGACATACCGTGGTTTCTTTTAGGAAATGTCCAAACATGTGAGGGGTGGGTACGGTCAACGCCAACTTGGGGTCGGGAAAGTTCGGTATCGAGTCGGCGTGACTTTTCACAGTTATCGTGGTGTTGTAACCAGAAATGTACTGAGAAAGCCACTCCCTTCCAACAGCACCAACCTCCCATGCAGCTCTAGCGACAAGATCATTGGGACCAGGTACAATGTTGACAGTAGACATATATGCGTAGCCGACGCGCGTCTCGTTCACCCAGATACTGACGTTACAGAAGGGAATTGTGGCCGAGTAGTCGGTAGGATTGGTTACATTAACCCTTGCCTGCAGCGTTAATGCGGATTCCGACGTATCGACAATTTCCATACCCTTTATTTCTGGCATCTGAAAATCTCCCATCATCGGCGGCACAAAGATATCTCCTTGCGCTGGAACTCCTCGGACCACAAATTCTCCCAACGCAGTAAGGGTATTGACGTCTACGTTCGCGTGGACAGAGAGTGCAACACCGTCACCAAACAGGAGTTCTTGAACAACCTTTGAGAACACCGAATCATTCTTGATCTCCAATGGTGCTTCATCCACAACCGACTGTATCAGCAAGTCATTGTCAACTTGTGTCGCATTGGCTTTTTGCCATTTCCTCAGATCCAGTTTGCCCAGCAGGTCTCCCTTGTAGAACACATCCGCATCAGCTCGCACTCTGTCAACGTCCATATTGACATTGATTTCTTCTGGAAGTCCCACCAGAACATTCACCACAGCAGAGATCTTTGGGCGAGAATCTGAAAAAGGATCTGGCAGAGAGAAGTGAACGTCCTCGAGGGAGAAGTTTTTTATCAGATTCTCAAAAGGATGGCCTGGAAGTGAAAATGGTACTATCGTATCGCGTAAAATCTGGTCGACCCATCCAGGTGTGTCGGGATCCTGTTCGCCTCCGCGGATATAGACGGTTGTGTTTCTCCCGGCAAGATAGTCGGCGATCAAGCTGTCCAAAGGCGAAGTTTTCGTACCTGGACAGGCAGCTGTTAACGATGTAGGAAGCTGCCGTACCAAACCCACAACGCTTGCGGTGATATTCTGCTTGGGTACGATGTGGATCACATCGGTCTTTGCGGTCGCGAACAATAAGTAGTCGTTGTAGCAGTCTGGCAGGAGTATGTCAAAAGACAAAGCAGGCACATCTAGGTTGAGTGGGAATTCATTCATGGCCGAAACAACTGCCTTGGCCTTAAGACCTTCCGGATGTCCTGGCATGCCATATTCTGCAAATTGAAGTCTCTGGATCTCAGCCTTCGGGACAGTGGGGATATCGTGACCCTGGAACTCTAGAATCTGAGATATTGTCTGCTTGGGCAGCCTGATCAGACCGCTGCGGATTGGGACAGTGGCAACAGCATTGACAGTGAGCCCATCCAGCTTCCGGTCGATAAAGTCATTGACAATCCTTCGTAGGCCGTCCACGTCACCAGGCTCCAGATCCGCCAGGATATCAACGTGATTTTGATGACGGTTGCGAATATTCACCTTGACGGGTGGTATTGTCGCCGTCCCGAGCAAGACGTTGTCGTACTCGGGCAGGTAGACACTGACCTCCGACTCGCCGCTCTGTACTTCTCTTGCGATCCAAGTCCCGAATCTTCCCAGGTCTCTTGTTGGTTTATGTCTTACTCTGCTCGCCTCGAGGTAGAATGTCCCTTGAATTCTGGCGCGGACTCCGAAAGATGCGAACGAGTCGATGGAGAGATTGGTAGGCTCAAAAACCACAGCTTCTTTCGCGTATTCTTCAATCACCGGAGGAAGAGCGAATCCAAAACATGCGACGACGACTCCCAGGCAGAGGACAGTGAGTGCTATGATTGTGGGCCATCTCTTCTGCTTCTTGCCTGATGTCTCCTCGAGGGACTCTGATATTGACGGGTCATAACTGGGCTGATCTGCAGCACCATCGGAGTCGTCGGTCCGCAAGAGAAGAGGAGTGCGTTCTGAAGTATGCGGGGAGGATTGACGAGAAGACATTGTGGCCTGGAGGGAGACTTTCGAGGAAAGCGATCAGGTCATGGAGGACTCGGAGGATGTCATGGTAGGAGGTTAAGGATGCGGACTACGTTGAAAATGATACGGAGTAATCGTACAGGGATGGCTAAGATGTCATGACTGAGATGAAACAATGCTGGTGTAGCAATTAACAGTGATGAGTTCGAGACTTGATCCAGGAACCAGGTCCAGGTATGATCGCCAATCATTGGGGCTTAGATTGCACTAATAAACTAAGTAATAAGGTAAACAGGCTTGGGCATTACCCAGAGGGCGGAAATTTACGAAATCTCTCACTTTCTCTCTTGTTGGCTGAGCAAAACTTTGGTTTCGTCCTGATCAGGCAGCTTTGTTTACCGTAAGAGGAAGGTACGATATCATTATCATTCCCACGAGGAGCACCAATCCATCCACGACTTCACACCTCGCTGGTACCTAAGTACGCTGTAAGTACGGGGTACACCCGGAGGTCCGCCATGGACTTGGGCTCAGCTCCCATCGGGCATCATTTTCTTGGATCGATCTTGCGGTATCTAGATAGCACAGAGTGATCAGGTGTCTCTTGGTCTGGCAGCGTCCTCTCAACACCCTATGAATCACTCTGACGGCCTTGGAGTGCACACTTCCACCACTGCGACCATTGAGCGACCAGGGATGCCTTGGGGATAACTATAGGATGCTTCGGCGCCGAGTATCGATTTCGTGAGGACATTGCCCCTCCATGTGGCTTACAGTGTACACTCCCTGTGAAATGTCCGCCCTTTGGATTATCTTCTATGCTCATCTGGCCTACTCCGCACATAGTTACTTATGTTGCCTCGTCAGTCACTAGAGGGAATCTGTGTACATCTCTGCTCCAAGAGACGAGACGGCTACGTGGCATTCTGTTGTTGAACTACTGACAAGCCCTCGATGCCCAAAGCCTGGAGTGATGCATGTGGCTTAATATCATGATGGCAACCGACGGTGCTACACTAAGCAGGACAGGAGGCCATGGAATCGACGGGAGCCGTTGTTGCAAAGGCGGCGGAGGTACTCGTCCACATCTGAGGTCAATGGGTCGAGATCTTTGTCAGTCCAAGACATCGATGACCCGCATTGGTTCGTACTCGTTCAATTCACATATTGATATCATAGTACAACGTCCCTGGGACTGAGTCATCTATGCCGATCACTATCTGAGGACCCCATATGCTTATCCGGAACTCCCGCTTATGCAGCCTCGTATCTCATACTCATAACAAATCAATCATCAGAACCAGGCCGGTTGATTCCGACAGAACAGAAAAAAAAGCAAAGACCATTTTCCGCTTTGGGATCGCCTTGTGTCTGATAATCCAGCATAACATATAGAAAGCAGAAAGAAAGGACAGTTCATAACAGTCCTGATGACTGTGAAGAAGTGTGCCCAATTGATTCACATCGGTCGTACTTGGACCCAAAGGAAACCCGAAAGAATCCGTATTGAGAATGCTGGTCGCTGGCCTCTCTGAGTAAGCCGATGTAAGCAAGGCGTCGAGTGTGTTTGTGAGCGAGAATGTCCAGAACTTTCATCCGGTAGATGATCGCTCTCTGGGATGAAGAGTATCGCTAGTGGGGGGACATTCCAGTAACATTGTCAACGGGCCGCCGGACAATCTAAATACCATACTTGTACGCCTGTTCTCTGGCAGTCGTGTCGTCGTTGGCTCGCTCAGTCTTGAGGATGCTCTTGTCGATCTCATCTCGCATACGTGCCGTGTGAGATTTAGGACCATATGTATCGAGGTGCTGGTAGTATAGCCACAAGATAATGCAACTGGAACGACGATAAGCATCCTGACCTCCTGAAAGGAGATTGTAGCCAAACTTGAACTCACCTTGCAATCGTCCCTACCAGACCAACCCAGAGGAATACCACACTAGCGATGGCTCGTCCGTTGTCTCGGTATCGCAGTGGCGGATTGAGGGCCTTCTGCGCGATCTCCGCGGCGTCCTGGGAGTTGGCCGAGATCCACGCATGGCCCGTAGCCACGATGACTGTCAAGGCTATGGCATCCGCAAATGTCATGAGGGTGACGATCAAGGCGCTGACTCTCCAGGACCACCGGATGTTGCGGGGTTCATAACGTTCCGGGAAGAAGAGGTCGAAGAAGAAGGCGGCGCCGAAGATCGTGGCGACGGCGATACCGACGAAGATGTTGTAGGACGCAATGCCGACAAAGTCGTCGTTGTGCACTGCCGCCGACGAATGGAGGCGTTCTATTCTTGATTGTTGCTTCACATAGTCTTATCACACACACACACACGCAGTCAGTCTCACGAGCCCTTCACCCAAGGTTTTCAGCAGACAGTACTCACCTGTGAGAGCGGCGGTACCGATAGACTCGGAGACAACGCAGCATATCATGGCAATTTGGTAGACCACGAACTTCGTCCTTCGTAAATGGTAGTCCCTATTACCGAACATGTACGAGCTCTTGAACTTTCCCCATTTCATGTCTCGAAGGTCAAGACCCCAGATCACAGCCATCGTGTTATCTTTTCGATGAAGGCGTTGCTGAGATGTTAGGTGTGTCGGTGTTTATAGCGTATCTGTAGCTCTTTGTGACTCGACAGACCCAGACGACAAAGTTCACCACCAGAGAAATAGTACAGTACTATCACAGTGACAAGGCTTTGAGAGGAGTTTCCACGAAAACCACGATAAGTGAGAAGCAACAAGGCTTTCAGAAAGATACAAGGTGCAGTAACCGGAAAGGCTGAGACGGGGACTATTAAAAGGCAAGACGGTGTGTACTATGACATTCAACTCGCTTCATACATCATCCAGGCCAAGCCACATAAGCATGATTAAGAAGGGCTTAAACTGGCCAGTAACGAGTCTTTGCAGTTGTTGTTCACAAGGGTGTAGGAACGAATTGCCCGAACCCGTAAAAAGCCGCAGGGAGAGAATGGGACGAAGGCAATGACTTGCAACGAATTCAATATGTCATCTTTACCATTTTCAAGAATAGTCCCGCAACCATCCGCCCGAGCGAACGACGATGGGCTAGTGGTTGGTTGGGGCTTTCGGGGGGGGAGGCTGGTCTAAGGCATGGGGTTGTCAGCTGGACCGAGAGGGTTTGGTTGGTGATTTGCAAGCATGAGATCTTTCTAGGGCCCAAGGAATCGACATCTGGAAGTACGGAGAACTTTGAAATGTAAGTAACTAGGTATGGGAAAGTGAGGTGTTTTCGAATGGCCGGTGAGGCGACTATGACGCAGTTGGTGCCATGACTCAGGCTGTTAAAAGCCTTGGGCTGGTTTGTTGGCGCTCGACGATCAATCGTATCGATACCCTTATCAGTCCACTCAGTAACTTTGGGCAGTACCTTGTGTTCGCTGAATAAGTCTTCAGGTCGAGTATAATGTCTCTTGGCTTTGATAAATTGGTCGATGAGAATTGGATCCTTGGCTTTGATAGACATCCCACGAAGTGTACAGTATGTACGGAGTATGGACATGTGGTCCTTCAAGGATTGGCCTCCGGAGGTAACGGAGTACTGGAGGATCGTCGAGGCGAAAATGCTTATGAAAGCTTACGCCTTGAGCTTCTCGTACCCTTACAGAGCCCGAAAGCCCGAGAGTCCTTGGTTGCTGGTGAGGCTGATAAGGAATAGGGAACTGCATACGGAGTACCCAGGTTCTCCATTGGCAACACCTTGTTATTGTTCAGTACATCAATAGGCCATTGTGGAGTGACTCGGGCTTTTGCTGGGCGTCAAGGCTACCACTATCATTGTGTCTCTGGGGTGCTTCAAGGTCAGTTAGGCACCATGTGGTTCGTTTGTACGTGCCCAAATCACATAGGTGCCTCAGGGAGCCTACACCGTATCTCAACAGTGGTGATACAACAATCACAAACTACTTATATATATATAGACGGAGAGGCTATTTCGTACCCTACAGAATCACAAGCATGATGAAGCCTCGGACATCCCCACGATGCCAATGTGCTGATATGGGGTAAGTTCTTCTGATGTAACTCCGTATCAACGTTGATGTCCACCCAAGTATCAGCGCGGCGACCAGACCTTCGGTGATACGAGCAAACTCCTGCTTCATCGGCGAGTGGTCCCTTACGAAACCTTTCCCTTATCAGGATCAGAGGCCTCTACAAAAGCAGCGGACTCGATCGCACAGAGAGTTGACTAGTTGAGACCCCGGAAAGATAGCATCAACCATGGCGAAAGTCGAGGACGGACACCTACCTTTTGTGGAATCTGCAAAACCATTGCATAACAGTATCCCAGACCATCTAGCTCCCAACTTCGAGCCGGCATTCCTCGAATACTACAACAAATACACTGCCGGTCGCCTGGCCACTCATCAAGTGCCCATTGAGAAATTTCGAGCCGATCCGGCCAAGTATACCATCACCTACGGCAGGGATGGTGTTCCTAGCGACGGGGTTACATGGTCCGACCTGAAATGTCCCGTTGATGGGGGAGAAATTACGGTTCGAGTCTTCGAACCTGCCTTCTCGTCCACCGACAAACCTAGGCCGGTATACATCAACTACCACGGCGGTGGCTGGGTCTTTGGTGGGTTGGTCACCGATTTTGATTTGTGCAAACGGATTGTGCGCGAGTTGGGCTGTGTAGTGTTCGATGTCGATTATCGGTTATCACCAGAGTACAAGTTTCCAATTCCTGTCAACGACTCCATTGCAGCTTTCCACTGGGTAAGTAAGAAGCACACTCACTCACTCACCCAATCACTTCCCTCCTCAAGAGGAGAGCAAACGAGGTTGTTTGCTAGGAGAAGAAAACTGACACGACGATTATGCTCCCATACGGGGAGTATATGTAGATTCGAGACACCAAAGCAGAAGAATATGGCCTGGACGTCTCCCGCATCGCCATCGGAGGTGCTTCAGCCGGTGGTCAGTTGAGCGCCGTCATCGGCCACGTCTGTCGCGACGCTGGCATCCCGCTCGTGCTGCAGATTCTCGCCGTGCCCGTCACAGACCTGCACGTCTTTACCGCCGAAGGGCCGATTCGAAAGGACCATCCGTACGCGTCGTACAATGAACTCGCGGACACTCAACCTCTGTCTCTGGAAAGGATGGAGTGGTTTCACAAACAGTTTCTCGGCTCGCCCAGACCAGATCATCTGGCGAACGAGTGGAAAGTGTCCCCCATACTCGCCCCCAATTTCGCGGATCTGGCTCCGGCTCTGATCTTGACCGCAGACATGGACGTCCTGAGGGACGAAGGTGAAGCGTATGCGGAAAAGATGAAACGGGCGGGTTGTACCGTGGAACTGGTCAGATTCAAGGGTGCGCCTCATACTTTTATGCAACTAGACGGTACGTCCTCACTTTTGGGTGACTTTTTCTTGTGCCGGACCGGAGAAATAAATGCTGACATTATTACTTCGTGTGAAAAAGCGATCCTTGAATGCGGTAAAGAGTTCAACAGGATCGCATTGGCGGCTCTCGAGAAAGCATTCGAACTTTGATCAGCCCATTCTCTTTTTTTTTCTCAGCCGCATCAGCCCGCCTGTTCCCACAGTCAAAAAGTCTGGCTTATGAAAAGGGATTCAATGATTACTATTGGGGAGGATGTACGGAGTACGAAGTGGATGATCTCGGCCTTGAAGTTTGAACGGCCCCCGAGCAGATAGGAAGGGGGGGCCTTGCAGACCCCCTCGGCACAGGTGCTCCGGTGCAAGTACCCGCCACTGTAATAATGCACGGATACGGAGATATTATTTATTCTACGAGGCTTCCGGTGATGATAACTTGGGTTTGTTCCCGGACCCGCTCTCGCGACACCTTCTTGCACCCTTTGCCTCTCTTTAGTATTCCTTGCTCTCCACTATATCCGTCCGTAACAGCCCCCTTTCCATCCGTACTCCTACACTTTCAATTTTTTCGAGCCCACAGAGTTGAATGATTCGTGCCGTAAATGTTCAGTAATGACTCCGTATAGGAGGGAAGTATGTACTGAACATATATGCTTGGCCGTTACCACTACACACGTTTTCATGGGTGCGGAACGAAGGAAGAAGAATGGAATGCTTTATCATCATGGAGACCTTTTTCCGATGTCGAAATCAGACCCGCTCGCTCCCAAAGGATGTATCCGGGTAATGCCATGCCATGCGACAGTCCCTGAAGGAGGGGCTCGGGGGCTCACTGGAGCTTAGCAAAGCTTAGTCAAGACTGCATTATACCCAACGTGTCGTGTGCACAATTATGGACATGAAAAGTACCGATAGCTAAGCGGTGGAGTATTGTTGAGATCACGGTCGTAGCGACAATTGATGACCAGGATCACGCATGAATACGCGCTGAATGTAGACTGGCCTGAAGGGAGGAGGTTGTGTTCGTATTGGCGGAATCTGTCCTGAGGCGGGCATCAGATAACTTTGATGCTATTGTACGTCTTTGGTGCAACGTATCTAATCTCCCAAACGATTATCATCGAGACAATCATCTAGACATGGGTCAATGGCCCGTTTATTCGCCACATGCATCATCCTTTTAGGCCCAGGGTGGGTTTGAACCAGCGCACCATCTCTCTTCTTGGGCATCCCCCCAGGAAAACAGCTCATGCAATACGATGGCTGCCAAGTCGCTAAGGGGCGGATTCACGCACCTCCGTTCCGACGTGTACAAATTTCAACTGGGGCCCTTCCATGATGAAATGAGAGATCGCGTGTCTTCGCTGTCCTGCTGACTGACTTGCTAACGGAGCTTGGAACCACAATTCCTTTCCGCCTTTTAGAGCCTCACCTTTCCCCCTGCCTCTTCGGCGCCAGGAGAAGTTGAGATTACTCCAAACTTGATACTTATGGAGTATTTGGGAGGCTCAAGTCACCGGTGGCCCTTTAAGCCCTGTCCAGTGGGGCCTTTAGAGCCTCTCCCAGGGATCCATCAGCTGCTTTGTGATGATCAATACTTTTTGGGCCTGCCAGCGCTGACAAGGCTGTCCGCCGTCTCATTCGTTGCATATGTCCCAGAAAACCAGATGTGTCGGTAGCACCGTCCCTTCACATCTCACCCAGGCGTACCGCGACCGCTCACACGCAGACACAAGACACGCGAACGGGCGATCTTTAGGGCCTGAATATCCCGGTCGACTCTTAGAGAATCATGACTCTGACTCTGGTAACGTGGTCGCCGATTCTCTCTTTTTTGTTTCCCAATTGTCTGTCACTCCAGTCCTGTAGCTTGCTGTAGCGCACCATCATGAAGTCTTCGTTGCTTTGCGCCGCCGTTTCCGTGCTGTCCTGGACGGCCGCCGCATTTTCCTTCAACGCCTATGACCTGGGTTTCCATGGCTTATACCCCCGCAAGCATTTTCATTCTGTTGATTTCGAGGCACCGGCACCAAAAATCACACAATGGGATTCCCGGTGCGATTATGGGAACCTCTTCTTCACGCCCAGAGGCCCGTGGGTGCAAGGGGCGGCACGTGGTCCCATCATAACGGACCCCCGAGGTAACTTGGTCTGGATGGACAACCACAGGTTTGAACAGGCCATGAACTTCAACGTCCAAAAGTACAGGGGGCAGGACTACTTGACCTTTTGGACCAAACACAGAAAGACCAAGCACGGGAAGCCGGCAAAACACTCCAAGAAATCATACGTTATGGTAAGGCTTCTTCGTATCCGTTTTAGAATTTGGAATGTCTTCTTTGGAATCTTGTCGTCCTCTGACACCGTGTTAGCTCAACTCTTCTTACGAGGTTGCCTACCGGATACACCCGCACGGCAAGAAGCTGAAGGGTGACTCGCACGAGTTCCGCATCACGCCGCAAGGCACCGCGCTCATCACCATCTACCACAAGCACCAGGCGGACTGCACGGACCTGAAGCTGGGGAAGAGCTGCTGGATTCAGGACGGCATGTTCCAGGAGATCGACATCGAGACGGGGAAGCTGCTGTTCGAGTGGCGGGCCACCGACCACATCGGTATGACCGACGTCTTCAGCAGCCCCAACATGAAGGATGGGCATGGAAAATCCAAGGCCGACGCCTTTGACTTCTTCCACATCAACAGCGTCGACAAGACGGACTCGGGAGACTATGTCATCTCGGCCCGCTACATGCACGCCGTGGTCTGCATCAGCGGCAAGACGGGCGAGGTCATCTGGCAACTGGGAGGGAAGAACAACGATTTTCGGGACCTCAACCACGCGTTGGACTTCGCCTGGCAGCACCACGTCACCTGGCAGGGAAACAACACGCTGTCCATCTTCGACAACCACGCCAACAACGTCTTCCACAGCCCCTCGAGCCACAGCAAGGGCATGATCATCAAGCTCGACCTGGAAAAGATGACGGCCACCCTGGTCGGCAAGTACGTCCACCCGGACAAGATCCTGAACGTGTCCCAGGGGTCGGTGCAGGTCGTCAACGAGACGGGGACGGTGCTCGTGGGCTTCGGCAACTCGCCGACCTACGTCGAGTACTCGCCCGAGGGCAAGGTGCTGTGCGCGGCGCACTTTGCACCCCACATCGCCTTCGAGATCATCGACTTTGGCCTGGTCAAGTCGTACCGCATATTCAAACACCCGTGGGTCGGGAAGCCCAAGACAAACCCGGCCGTCAAGGTCAAGTCTGGAAAGGCGTATGTGAGTTGGAACGGTGCGACAGAGGTATCGTCATGGCGACTTGAGAAGGCAGCTCATGGTGGCGGCGCCGGGGCCAAAGGTGGTGACGATGCCGAGTTCGTGACCATCGAAGAGGCCAGACGTGACGGCTTCGAAACCAGTTTCAATCTCGACAAAATCCATGGACACGTTAGGATCGCAGCCCTGGATGGTGCGAGAGGTGTCATGGCGTATTCGGCCGTGGTCAAGACACCATCACCATCACATGTAAGTCCTGGTTTTTTCTTACCTTCTGCAGTTCGCTCCCCGGCCTCCTCCCCCAATACCGTCTTTTCTTTTCAGCCGGCTGACTGTCTCGTGTTTGTGTTTTTCAGACCCTCCTATGGTCAAGCTTTATCCTCGTCTTATGCTTCATGGGCTTGGCCGTTTTGTACCGAAGAAGACGACAGATTCCGCATATCTCTATCCCCAACCTAAAGCTGCTTGATTTCAAGCATCGGCTCCACTCCATCACGATCAAGAAACAGGCCGTCGCTCTGGATGATTTGGAGACTGAATCGTCACCTTTGTTATTGGCAGAAAGAGAGCCAGAGCCATGAAGCGAACGGTGTCAAAATCTTTTGTCTTTTTTGCTTGTTTCATCCAACAGCTTTCTTCCGCTCAAGGGGCTTTTTTTCAAACATACTTGCATAATAAACGGCGTCTGGGGACATTTGTCGACATGATCAATCATGGGTAGTTGACTTGAGAGATTTTACTCATTCATATATCGAGTCCGAACGGAATCGTGTCGAGAAGAGTGAGGGAAAGCAACGTCTTACCGAACATGGTACTCAAAGACCTATCGAGCCATGATGTATGACCACCAGGAAATCCAGTTGTAATACGTACAGCTGGTCCCTCTGCTGGCTATGACTTTCTCAAAGGATGCCGTGGTGTTGGCTCTTGCCACCAAAAAAAAGTGACTGTACAATTAATAACGGAGTAGGGGGCATAACGACTATTGCACTCTTAATATGATCAATCTTATGAGGTAGTCACCTGTCTCCTGGTTTTCAACAGCCTTGCATAATCATATCAGATCAGATCAGATTCGAGGGGATTCTGAGTGAAGAAAGTCTCTGTGCAGAGTTGAAGGGGACGAGATGGAGGCCGCGTGGCGATGGTGAGATAGTATTAGTCAGTAATGATTAAGCTGCTACCCGTACTCGTGTTCCTACGTGAGCCTTATGGCATCCCGCCTATATTCAATATTCAAGTCGTCGCCCTTTTTACTCCCTGGACGTCCTATGGCCCAGTAAATTCTCGAAGAGGAACTTATTGCTGAAACCCATTTGTGGAGGAAACAATTCTGCCGACCATTTTGACTCCAGCAGCGACTCATCTACCGCTGACGAAAGAGATATTGCTTTGATTATCTCGGCGGTGTCGATGTTCGGTACCGGCCATCCCATACGCGCTCTTTCACTGGCACGATCTCTCTGAGCGAGGATCTCGGTCAATACAATTGCACCCCTGACGGCGATGATGCTACTTTCAAACCTTTGGAGTTGCTCGATACACTCCGACACCAAACCCTTGTGGGTGGCCAGCTCAGGGTCGGAGTCGGGCCGATGGAATATGTCCAAGCAGAGGATGATGGCTGCCGCCACACAAAATGCCTTGTCGATCCAGATGATCGGACCGTCGATTTCTTTGGCCTTTTTCGCTTCATTGAGGATCGTCTTGGCCGCAGCCGTGCACGTTGCCCGTGTCATCGAGTACAGCGGATTCGTGAAGCTTTGTCGAATGTAGGCGCGGTGTATCATGATGATCTTGTGGGCGAAACAGACGGTGAGACTCGAGCGTGCCCAATGCACCCATTCCGGCCACATGGTGTCCACGGGTTCCATGACGTGGAAGTAGCGTGGCATCCCCTTGGTCGCCAGGCTCCTCATCTGTGTGTCGTAGTCCAGAATGTTCTGGTACTCGGTGAAGGGCGTGGTGGCCTGGAGGGTCGCCTCGTGGTGCCGCACGACCAACCTGGCGATTTCGAAGAGATAGTTGCCGTAACTGATGTACGTCGGGAACGTGGCAGGGAGAGGCTCCATGGTCAGATAGTCCCGACTCGACGGTAAAATGGTTGTAAAGTGGAACGGGTTGATATTGTGACTTCCGGCGAACGGGAGCGACGTCCAATCTTGCACGCAGAGCTGTGACCACAATTTCCTACCGAGTTCGCGCTTGATCAGGCGGTGCCGCTGATCTTGCGGAGACGTCGGGTCAATGTCCTTCTCCAAGGTCGCGTTGTAGTCGAGTTTATCGAGCCCGAGGGCCTGGGCGACCTTCACTGCCGCCCCGAGAAGGATGGAGAGTTCAGTGGACCTACCTAGCGGGTGCGCCGACATGGTCAGCGTGGTAATTGCCTGCACGGAATACGTATCGTGGTTCAGCATCCATTCACCGTGATTGAGGCTCGTGATGGCCGCCTTGTACCATTGCATTGAAAGTTTGGCTGCTTCGGACTTGGAAAACCCCCAGTCTTTGAGTCGTCTCTCGGACGAGCATGTCAAACTAGCTGCCATGATGGAGAATAGAAGAGCCAGCCATTGCAGATGAAGGCCACCGACGTTCAACGCCCTTTTGTCTTCCTGTTCGGCGATGGCACTTTCGAGTTCTGCTCTGAACGTCGGCCCGTGGTAGCAACAGTGGTACCAGAGAAGGTAGGCCTCGTGGTAGTCGACAAGTTTCCAGATATGGTCCAGGCTCGGGAGAAGCATTTGCAGAAACGCCTCGTGTGCAGCAGCAGTCAGGTGGGGTCCACAACCTGAGCTTGTCGAGGAGAAGAACAATGGTGTCCCATTGCAAACGACCTCGGCTGGATTCTTCCGAAGTTGTGGCGGCTCATAGGGCGTAAACACATACCTTGGACGTGGCAGATTGGACCTGGAAACATCCCAGCCTTCTCCGGCTTCGAAAGATGTGGTGGTGGGTGTGGCATTCCTAGCGACCACTGGCAGCATACCGGGGCCTGGGGAGGATTCGTCGACTCTATCTCTCGATGGAGTCGGCCTCAATTGACGCTGTCGCGAAGTGGGTGTTCGATGTCTGCTTTCAGACCATTCCAACCGGCACTTATCTGGGATTCCTCGCTTGACGCACCGCCCGCACGGCAAGCGCCGATCGCACTTTTGTCGTCGCGAACTACATTCCGTACATGTGTGCCTCTCGCGTATCTTGGCCATCTGGCCGGGACCGAAGGATGTTGTACCACAGCGGGGACCGGATAGTGAGAAAGGAGGAGTAGAGGGAGTGATAAAAGTAGCATTATTGAGTTGGTGATTCGACAAAGTACGAAGTTCCAAGGAACCTGTCGTTATCAGATACTGTTCAAGAGAAGGGGAATTCCTTATCGGTTCGTGCGAATCGTACCGACTCTGCGATATCGATCGACTCCACTTTTCCTCGTGTGGGAGCCATATCTTCTAATAGTTGAATCCACCTATGACCAAAAGTCATTACTAAAAGATGGGTTCTAGATCTTCTTTGTCTACTGAGATTCTGTCGCTCTCCCCAAACTCAGTGATAAGACTACTTTATCGAGCAAGGGTCAAATCTGGACCCTTCTCGTCCATCCCAACACTCAATGCCTAGGTAGGTTGATGTACGAATGACTAGCCATGTACAATCAATGTACCCCGTATCTTTCCCCGGTCCACGCAGGTTGTACAACACGACTTGCGTGTGTGATAGATTGATAACGGTGACCTCCGGCTCAGAATAAAGTCTACAATGCATACTTTGGAATCAACCATAAGAATCTGAACTCAAGACTACCCTGAGGTTTAGCTGAGGCATAGGAAGCGCCACCCACACGTACACACTGCAAGACTTGAAGAGCAAGTTTTGTAACCGGAGGGCACACACATAACAATCGGAGCAACATCAAGAACATTCATCATCTCGTATTGTGAAAGCCCAGGATGGGCTCTCTTGAACCTCTCCAGCGGGACTTTGAAGTCCCCACAATCGATCTCAGCTCATACTTGCAAGACCCCGATTCATCCCAAGCAAGCACGGTGGTCGAGCAGATCCGCAAGGCTTGTGCCACGAGTGGTTTCTTCCAGCTCACGGGACATGGCATTCAAAAGACACTTCAGCAGCAGGCATTTGCTGCCGCCAGGACATTTTTCAATATCTCAGATCAAGAGAAGCGCAATCTATGTGGGAAGCCCGGTCGCGGGTACGAGGTCATGGGGAAACAATTCCTGGAACCTGGGAAACAACCAGACCTGAAAGAGGTGAGTTCGGGTCCTCAAGCATGACTGGCGCGCTCAGTCCATCATCATTACCCCTTCCTACACAAGTTCCGGTACCTACTAGGATTCTCATGTGTTCTCTTCCTCTCAGGGCTTCTTCATCGGCCGTGAAATTGAAGGTGCAACTCCACCGTTTCGCCCCTTTCAAGAACCAAACATCTGGCCGAGTCCAGATCTCATTCCAGAATCACAATTCAAGCTTCCTCTTCTGGATTACTACCGGTCCGTATCCGACCTTTCTTTCATCATCATGAAGATCCTCGCGTCAGGTTTGGAGCATTCAAACTTCGACACCAGCGTCTTCGCAGAGTTCTGCCATGAACCCATTTCTTCGATCCGACTCCTCCACTACCCTCCTCATCCGGACACCAAAGATGACAGTCTGGTGGGCACTGGCGCGCACACGGACTTTGGAGCCATAACTCTATTGCTCCAGGATGGTAACTCCGGGTTGCAGGTGTTGAACCAGGCGACGAACGAGTGGCTGGACGTCGAGCCTCGGGAGGACGCGTACGTGGTCAACATAGGGGACATGCTGGACGTGTGGACCAACGGCGCCTACAAGAGCACCGTTCACCGCGTCATCAACACTTCCGGCGGCGAGAGGTATTCCATCCCGTTTTTCCTGGATGGGAACCCGGACTGTACCATCAAATCCCTCGGCACTGGTGACTCGATGGGGACCGGAAAGACGTATACGGTCGAACAGCACATGTTGTCGCGGTATGCTGCTAGTTATAAGTAATCTTCCCCACTGATAATGGACATAAAATATAGAAGCTGGTTTCAAACAAAGTGTACCTCATGTTATGATGTTTTGATTCATGTCTTTCAGTGTTTACCGATATCTTCTCTTAAGCTTGTTCTTGACACCATCACTCTTGTTCCTTATCCTCCTGACCGTCCGCTGTGCATCTTCTCTGATCTTTTTCTCATCCAACCTGACCAACTTACCGCCGTCCACCAATAGTTCGCCATCGATCACCACCTTGTCGACGTCGGCGCCCGAGCACGAAAACACCACCACCGTGACAGGGTCGATTCCTCCCTCCAATACCTGTTGTGAATCAAACGGCGCGCAATGAAGGCCGGAAGTGTCGATAATTACAAAATCCGCCTTTTTGCCCACCTCCAGACTTCCAATGTCCTTCTCCAGACCCAACGCTTTGGCGCCATTGATCGTAGCCATGATCAGGACATCTTCCGCCGTCACAATAGCCGCGTCTCGTCTGGATCCTTTATGTATAAGCGCCGCGACCCTCATCTCCTGAATCATGTCGTACGTGTTCGCACAAGGAGCGCCATCAGTGCCCATGCTGACGTTGATCTTCGCCCCGAGCATCTCCGGCACCGCGGCGATCCCGGAGGCCAATTTGCAATTACTGCTCGCGTTGTGAGCGACCGTGGTTCCAGCTTCCTTTAACAATGGCAAGTCCTTATCCAGATCGAGATTCACCATGTGTGCGAGAACGGTCTTTTTGTCGCGGCCGATGAGGTTAGTTCGGGAGCAAAACTCGATGGGACTACAGCCGTAACTTTCGCGATAGATGGTCAGATCCTTGGGCGCCTCGGCACAGTGCATGGTGAGACCAATGCTATGCTCGGAACAGGCGTCTCCGATGGCCTTGTGGGACGACTCGTCTGTGCCTCGAGGAGTGCCGGCTGCCATCCAGACCTGAAGTCTGCCTTTGGAAGATCCGTGGTATACCTCATGTGCCGCGAGGGCGGCGTCTATCGACATGCCTGAAATGTCACGGTCTCGAGGGTCCGTCATTCCAAACTTCTTTGACTCTTGAACCACCTTGACTAGTTTGCCCTGACCATTTCATCAGTTCTGAGTTGAAACACCCAAGAAATCATACATGAGAGAACTCTGTAAGGAGTTGATGGGAGGTACGAAAGATAAAAAAACGTACCAGACATGCTCGAATCCCCATCTCATCTACTGCTCGAACAGCATTCTCGAATCCGCTGCTGTGGGTCAACAGCGCCTCTAGGAAACACGTCGTGCCACTCTTCAGCATCTCTGCAATGGTCAGTCGGCTTGCAACGTAGCCATCTTCGCCCTCGTAGTTTGCTTCAAGTGGCCAGATTGAGTCGCATAGCCACGTGTGTAGGGGCACGTCTTCCGCCAGGCCACGTAGGATGGATTGGCCTAGATGAGCGTGTGTGTTGATCAGGCCAGGGATGATGATTTTGCCCTGACAATCTACAATCTCGCACTCGGATTGTTGGGGCCGAGATCGAGACTCTTGGAGGAGTGAGGCTGTTTTCCCGATGGCCTCGATTCGATCTCCATTGACCAAGATGGCCCCGTCCAGCCAGATTGTCCGTTCAGGGTCTACCGTGATGATGGTGGCGTTGGTAAACAAGGTTCTCGATCTGCTGGCGTCCATGGTTGAGTCAAGCAGAGGCATCTTTGGGAATGTAAGGAACTTCCCCTTCTGATCATACGGTAAGCAAATGTTTCGAGTAGGTAATGAGTTGCATAGCTAGATGTGGCAAGTGAAAGATATCAGGCTCTAGGTTTATGCATTCAAATTGATTATCATGGATTTCTCATATCATAATAGATTGTCGTAGGAGTATCATCCGTATTTCGTACAGGACGCCGTTGGGCACTGTACGATGTTTGGTGCCCCCCGATAAAGCTCCCGAAAAAGATGGATCCTCCTTATTTAGTGGCCTTTGAAGGTGCCTAGAGGTAACCCTCGGGCCTAAAAGCGACAGGTCGAGAAGGCCTGAGACTAGTCTTTTTGTGGAGTCCTTATTAGGCTTACGATGTTTATCGGTCCGAGATTGAGAACACCAACAAAATCTTATATCAATCTTCTCTGAACATCTCCTATGAGCTCCTAAAACGTACTGGCAACCTGTCATCAACATGCATTAATTGGCAAGAAGACGGCAAGTTCTGCTATAACCTATTTCTGCATAGATAACGTAATCGATCTCGATGTCAGAGTCAACAAAACCCATTCCTGAACAACAACGAGTAAAGAGAGGCAAGCGATCGAGTTGACAAGATGACAATCATTGATTGTGCTTTGCTTGATTTGCTGACAGTGTAGAAATGGCGTCAAGGCAACTAATGTCCCGACCCAGAGTGCCTCGACCCTGAATGTCTCGACCCGGAATGCCTCGATCCGGAATGCTTCGAATCATGCGAAATCGCTCGTGAATCTCGAATCGATGGTGTACTGGGTGTTGCAGTTGCAGCTCGACAGTCGCGGCAGATATCATGTTGGCAGCGCACACAGAAAAGATTGCGACCACCTCTCTCTCGACACTTGCAACATTCCCAGCAGTATCCCCTTTCACGTACCAACTCTTGGGCTCTTTCCTGTTCTTCCCTCTCCTCACATCTGGGGCGGGTACACCAACCAGCCTTAGCAGTAGTGCTACGCTGTGCTGGTCCACCAGAACAGATGGATGGTCGGCGAGCACCGGTCGCTAGCTGTCTTCTCCGCGCAGCTGGGCAGTACCTCGTTTTCTTATGCGGATCTGGCAACCTGTGGCCGCATCTGGAGTACTGTATTTTCCACTGCTTGCAAGTGCATGACATTGGAGAGATTAGGGGATTTCTGAGGGTGACCTGGTATGAGTACACGACAGGAGCTATTGTCTTCAAGCTTTTTGAGCTTCGTATGATCTAGGAGGGAAGAGAAGGAGCGCGTTCGAGGCTGCTGAAAAGCCTTCGAGGACATGTTGAAACCTGTCACCGGTCATCACACGCACACCAACACCGAGTTCCTTGGTCTGCCACCGTGATGATGCAGAGGACAGGCGACAGGTCATCTGATCAGAGGAACAGCTCCTGCAGGGATACAGTGATACAGAAGTGCAGCGGCGGCTTCAATGATTGAATGAACCAAACTTTTGCAGATGCATATCCTGGGAAATACGAAGTCAATGTAACGTGGCGAACTGGTGATCCAGAGCCATCAAAAGGATCTTGGCTGTCTCGGTTGATGGAGTAGCATGGTCTCTTCTTTGAACTGAACGCTACAAGGGATATCCCTGACGCTGACCTGGATTTTGAGCATGAGATCCTCCTGTGCTCTTAGATCAACGCCTGGAAGTGCAGTTGTGTAACAGTTCATTTCCTGGTTGAATCTCCCACGGAGACATGTGGACTGCCCATGGCGCTAGGAGTGTCAGAAGGATCTATTGCAAACCACAGCTGGTAAAGAGGCCCGCTTGGAGACAACAGTGGAGTCATTGCCTCCAGGCATCCGTGGAAGATATGAATTTCAGCCTGATTCTATACGAGGTACTGCATTCTTAAGCCTAGAGTGTTGGAATAATAGGAGTGAATGGTCATGTGATAAAAACCACGTGATGATGATGATGCCAGGGGTTTTCTTCGCAGTTTCCTCAAAGTAGCAAACATTCTATCTTCAGCATAAGCACCCTTTGTTGATATCGTCGCATGAATCCTCTCTTCGAGATTTAACCCTACCTGAGTCTAACATAACAAGGTTTTGCTTCGGCTCTTCCGAGATTTCATACACGAATTCGACCTTTCACAATGAAAGAAATAAATGACAAGGGTTACACGGTCGAATACACCATCAAAATCGAGGACAATGGCATCTGCCTCAGAGTCCACTGCAATGGAAGGGCATTTGACATAGAGTATGGGCCACAAGACCTTTACAATCCAGCCAATAAAACAAATCCACGAGCCTTGGAACAAGAATACCTCGATGCCCTTCATCACATATTCGGTGACGACGATGATGAACCTGGGCAAGGTATGGATGTCGATGATGCAACCGACCTATCGGATCCACAAGATCAGCTCAGTAGCCCCGACTCTTCGGCCATGAGCGAATGTGGTTACGAAGAAAGCCCCGTGGTCGCTTTCACCATGGCACCGTTCCTCTCACACGGGACTTTGGAAACCTTCGCGTCGAAGTCCTCGACACCATGTCTCAACACCTTACATGACGTCCTTCATCCTCCACTTTTCACATTCAGTCTGCGTGTGGTGGAGGGAACTCTGGTCCCAGTCAATCAGTCTCCAGAGAAAATGGAATACGTGAAACCATACGACGCTGATGTATGGAAAGCTCGTCACTGGCGTGACTACCCCAGGGTAAAATCAAGGGACATAGCCATGGCACGAAACGTTTCTCTTTTGCCAAATACGAATCTGGTCATGTTCAACAACCGAATATGCTGGTTCAAGCCAGTGATAGGGGGCATTGATGATGCTCCATACAGGCGAGAAATCGACATGCTATTTCGACTGCGACGGAAGTTCAAGAACCTAGACAAGCCACTACGCTTTCCGCAGCTGGAAGCGACTGTGATTGGTGAAAGGCGTGAGGATATGATCAATGGCCTTATTCTCTCCGCCGTCTATCCAAATCGTGGGACCATAGCGGATCAAGTCGAAGGGCGACGAGGGCCATCACCTTCCCCTAGTCTGTGCGAGCGATGGTACCGCGAAGTCGAGGCCATGGTACATATCCTACACAGTGAAGGTTTCATCTGGGGCGACGTCTCCCCAAACAACATGATCATCGACGAGGATGAAAATGTCTGGATCGCCGACTTTGGTGGCGGATACACCTGTGGTTGGATTGAGCCAGAGGACATGGAGACCATGAAGGGCGATCTGGAGGGACTCAAGGTGCTCAAGGAATACCTTTTGGATGTGGGGCCGTTGGAAGATGCCTCATGAGCTAAAGCCGCGAGCACCGGTAATGTCGAGTCTGTGACTTATCGGCATACACACACCAAAGGTTCCCAGGTTTGATGGCGCCTGTGTTGGTAAACTTATTGGGTCTGCATCAAGGAAGCGACAGTACGACTCATTGTACAAGTGCATTATCAAGATGTTCCGGTAGATTGGACTTGGTATCATATTACATTTCGTACTTCACGTTGTGACGATAAGTTGGACAAATGCCTGGTTCAAGATGTCTATCGTAAGGAAGTTCAAAAAAAAAAGAAATCTATTTCCAACGGCTGTCGAATGGAGTTTGTCCCGACTGGGTGTTTCTATTCCTCGTGGTTCCCTGTCCTGTTCCGACAGACGGGATCTCGAATTCGGAAGTGGATCTTGCCTATGGGGCAACGGGGCAGAGAGATACTGTCGAGGGGACTTTATCAATCGGTCATCGGGTTCAGCGGCCAATCACCATCCAACTTTCCGGTACGATATCAAATTGATTGCAAGATAAGGCTGAGCAACTATGAAAGCCCCCCCTCAACAGAACCAATCAGGGATGCATTATTGATGGACAAATACGATTGACTCAATTAATGGGGGTTCTCAATCTGTCGTACCGGGACCGACCTTTGATAACTCTAGTGGCAAGAGTCCGTATCAATTCAGTCCTTGACAAAGGTGCACCTTGATACATAATGTCCTCTTTTTTCCATCGTTCTGGAATTCATAGATCGAATACATCGAAAACCCAGCAATGTCGGGAGTTTGAAGGAAATATATGAAGAAAAAGCCACGCACCGCTTCGTCCCAGACTATACACTTCACTTGCGAGAGACTTTGTACCTGGTACCCCGTACATACTCCCTCAGTTTATACTAGCCTCCCTGTCCTGACGCAAGGCCATGGACAACAAAATCGGTGCCGAAGAGAACAAAATGGCAGTCGACAGTTCAACCACTTCGACGTACGAAGCAGCGACGAGCCCAGGCATTACTAACAAGGTCGGTTTTCGCGAAAAGGTCACCGAGGTATCTTCTTACCTCACCTCCCGAGACGCCTGGTTGGGAGACTACGACTATTGGTACCTCGTCACCCCCAACATCCCCCCCTTCAACAGGAAGTACAAGGACAAGGCGATCCCTTTTTACGGTCTTCACGACCGGGTCCCTATCCTGTTGACCATCATTCTGGGTCTGCAACATGCTCTCATCATGATCGGGTCCATCGTGTCACCTCCACTGGCCATCGCTTCGGGAGCTTTCCACCTCGAACCCGCCCAGATATCGTATCTCGTATCTGCGGCCTTCATAACCACGGGCATCGCGACGGCCTTCCAGGTCACGAGGGTTCACCTCAAGGGGACCCCGTTCTTCATCGGCACGGGTCTCTTGTCCGTGGTGGGACCGACCTTCGACATCATCCCCATTGCGTTTTCCTACACCAGCATGCGATACAACAACGGGACTTGCCCGGTCGCCGCCGACGGCACTCAACTCCCGTGCCCCGACGCGTGGGGGGCTTTCCTCGGCACGATGCTCTGTACGGTCTTGATCCAGATCTTGATGTCCCTCGTCCCGCCGAGACTCCTCAACAAGATCTTCCCCAAGGTCGTCACGGGAACGTTGTTGCTGCTCGTCGGCGTGTTCCTGATCGGCAACGGCATGCAGAACTGGGGGGGTTCGTCCAACTGTAATGGCGGCGAAGGGTTTTACGCCTTGTGTCCCAACGTCGCCGCACCGAAACCCCTCCCCTGGGCTCACCCTAAACTGATCGGACTGGGCTTCAGCGTCTTTGTCAGTATTGTCATTGTCGAACAATTTGGTGCCCCCATCATGAAATCCATGTCGGTCTTGGTCGGTCTCGCCGTGGGGTGTGCCATCTCGGGGGCGACGGGTTACTGGTCCAGGGAGAACATCGACTCCGCCCCCGTCGTCACTTTTCTTTGGGTACACACGTTCAAGCTTTCCGTCGATGGGGCCCTCGTTCTCCCCCTCCTCATCATGTTCATCTGTCAGGGCGTCAGCTGCATGCCCGACATCCTCGCCACGGCAGAAATATCCAGCGTCGACGTCGAGGGTACCGAGTTCAACAGTCGAATCCAAGGTGGAATCCTCTGCGACGGTTTGGGCAGTTTGATCAGTGCTTTGGGTACGGCTGGTCCCATGGTCTCACAGGCCGGAAACAACGGTGTCATTGTCTTGACAGGATGTGCTGTAAGTCTTTTGAACCCCCCTCCCTTCTCTTGTTGAGTATCTGTTGGCCTAGACACACGTTTACTGACGCTTCGGTAATCTAGTCCCGTCGCGCAGGCTGGGCTGCCTCGGTGTTTCTCGTCCTCATGGGTTTCTTTGCGAAATTCGGGGCCGTCTTCTCGGCTATGCCACCCTCGGTCCTCGGCGGGATGCAGGTCTTTTTGTACAGCACCATCGTCGTGGCTGGTATCCGTATCCTCGGAATGGTTCAGTTCACCCGACGAAACCGATTCATCATGACCATCGCTCTCGGTATCGGATTCATCGACATCGTCCAACCAAAGTGGTTCAACCAAATCCTGGATTACAGCGGATCGAATGTGAATCTGCGAGGGTTCGAGCAAGGTCTCAATCTCGTCGTCGAGACCCCTTTCATCATCGCCGCCGTGATCGGGGTCTTTTTGAACTTTGTCTTCCCCCATGACAAGAGCGAGATGGACGAAATCATGTTTGGCGGCACGGATTCCAGAGGTTCCCCTACCTCTCTTCCTCGGATGGAGGAGCATGGCAGTAGGAATGATTAGACTAGTTCTGACTGAACATGGGTTTGGTAATGTTGATATTTTTTGAATTAATCATCTATCACGCTATGGATGTTTGTCTTGACGTTTGAATCTCTTGATTTTTCTTCTCCCCATCGGTTGATTCTTGTGAGTTTGCTGTAGTGATCTATCTTAATCTATACTTGTGACAATATCCTCTGCACGAATCAGGGAAAACCAAAGTCATGCCTCGAGGCAATACCGTAAAGAGAGATGGAGAATAGTATCTTGTATCTTATTTTTCTTATCATCGCACAGAGCTCGAGATGAAGAGACCCATAATCTGCCTGTTAGATAGATATCTGCTTTTAATCTACCAACTGCCTACCACAGACGTATCTCCCTCGCCAACTCTTTACGTTGCCAATACGACGGGTGAAGACTCTTCCAGCTGTGTCGTTTTCGTCTTGTCCTTCAACGTCTGAGAATAATACAGCGACATTGCATTCTTGGTGAACTGAGCACCTGTCACGAGAGGGTAATGCTTCTTGGGGCCCTGGATCAAAGCATCGTGGCACGGCTGGTTGAAAAAGGCGATACTGTACCTCTCGCCGTAATAGTCTCCGGGTTCGGTGGGGGCCTTGACGCGGTGGAAAGTCGACTTGAACCGATCGTCGGACCAGCTCATGAGCAAATCTCCAATGTTGCAGATGATTGCCCCGGTGGACGAAGGTTCGACCTTGGTCCAGGTGTCACCGTAGCCGAAGGATGTGCTGACCTCGCGACCGGGACATATCTCGAGACCCGACTGCCCTTGCTTTTGGAACAAGAGGGTGAGGAACGCCCAGTCCGCGTGGGCCCCGGAGCGGTGCCACACCTCACCGCCGTTCTGGCCGTTGTCGCGGGGAACCTCGAAGTAGTGGATGAGGCGACACACGGTCTGGGATTCGGGACGGCGGATGTCGTGCGCCCGGATGAAGTAGTCGTCGTCGAAGCCCAGCCCTCGCGCGAAACAGACCATGAGCTTTTCCGACACTCCCTGAACTTGGTGCATGAATTTCAGCGCGGACGGTTTGAAGTCCGGGAGGGTCTCGTCGGGCAGCCACAGTCCGTCCATGTGCGCGCCGAATTGCATCTGGTAGGACTCCTTGCGGTCGGCGACCCGCGTGGACGGTCGAACCTGGGCGTTCTTCTCCCAGCCGGCGTTGTTCGTGAACGGGACCGTGGCTTTGACGGGGTCGGGGAGTGCGAAGAATCGCGATGACCAGTCGAAGATTTCATCGATCGAGGTCAATGGGATGCCGTGGTCGGTGATGCAAAAGAAGCCGACTTCTTCGGCCGCGGAGCACAGTTGCCGTGTGATCTCGTCGATGCGGGACTCGAAGTTTGCCAGAGAGATGGCTGGGATAGGTCGATCTAAGTACTTGGTAGGCGCCATGACTCTGATCGTGATGCAAAGAAACACACCAAAATTTCACAGAGGAGGAGAAGCGAGCGAGCGACTTTGCTTGCCGGTGTTGGAAAGTTAAGTACTATGCACGCGCATTGAAGTCGGTGTTGATACAGGAAAATATGCCGTATCCGGGTCTTGATGACGATGGATTCTGGTCACGTATTGAAACCCAAAACGATATCAATTTGGTTCATGAACAGAATGGAGAGATGATAATATACCTGGGAAAACAAGTCGGATGGGCCCAGACCTCCTAGATTGACACATGTACGCATCGTACGAGGCTTTTAAAGAATTTCGGGAATTGTCAGAACGGGTATAATGATAAGACTTATGAACCGGCATTTGATACGATTGGTAGTCAGAGCCTGAGATAGTGAGCAGAGGATGTACGCAGTTCTTATGATACGACACGTCGGTGTCTCCCATTCTGGTTATCGTCCAATCATGTTGCACCATTCGTTGTACAAGGAGGCTCAGCCTTGCCGACCACTGTAAGCAGCTTTACTTTTTCATTTCACTAAAAGTCATGGTTTTCTGTATATCCTAATCCCGGGAGATTGGAAGTGAATTGGGTCTGAACAACAGCGATAGTAACCCTGAGATATCGACAATCTCTTAAGCGTGATCTGTTGACCTTATCGTAAATGAACCAAAGCTATCTTGCAGAGTTCAAACCTAGGTATTCGGTAAGTTGTTTTTAGGTATGCTCCTGACAAGACGAAAGAACGACGTATAAGAGTGATGTAGAATCGTATGACCATACCATATCACCCCATAGTTTTCCTCGTCATACTCCAACGATGAGAGTCTCCATTCCAACCGCCTTGTTGCTCCCATGCTGTCTCGTGGCGGCGTCATCAGCCGTCAAGGGACATGGCC